GGCTGCTTCGCAATTTCAACCCATTCCAAATGGGATTTATTTATTTTTTAACAGTAGTTTTGAATTTGTATTTGATTATTTTGAAACTGGACTGTACGTGTTTTTACATAATATAGTGAGTAAGTAATATTTATTTATATAGCGCCTTTCTCAGACCAGAGTCAAAGTGGTTTACAATTGTTATTTTGGGGCATTAGTCTGTCACTCCACACAGAGATGGGAGCGGGGCCAGTACAGGAGCCACATGCCAGACCTATTGTACATGTTTTTAGTGGTAGGGGAAACCGGAGCACCTGGAGGAAACCTACGCAGACACGGGGAGAAGATTTCAACTCCACTCAGAAATGCCCCATTCGACCGGGATTCGAACTCAGGACCTTCTTGCTGAGAAGCGGGAGTGCTGTGCCACATAAATTAAGGACAGATAACTTATACCCATGGGTCAAAAACCACTCTTTACGTCTCGTTCTGGAGCTTTCTTCAGGGGCACCAAAATAGAACCAACTATTGAAAAGGAAAAACAAATGACCCAACTCAGGCACAAGGTGAAAACACTTTGAGATCATTCAAACTTTGTCGCTATGTGTTGAGAGTGCGAGACAAACATGGACAAAAACGCCGTAAAATAATTTGAGATTTTTTTATTTATTTTTTTACTTTGAGGCAGATTACATGTTCTTTAGTCTGTGCTTAATACCTGGGTGCACGCAGCATGTATAGCTCTGATTATACATTCAGAAGCTCACACTGGAGCCTGATGACGGCTAATACGGCACGCTCCGGCGAGGAACAAAAATGTAATCAAACCTAATTTATTCTGTTGCCGTCACAGGTGGGATGGATGTGAGAGGCATTTTAACAGCCCCATAATTGAATTGGAGGTTTTTGCTGCGTATTAAAAATTCCAGTTGTTTTGGAGCAGGTGTTTTACTCTGATAAATGCACCAGTAACACAAATAATACAAGTGATCCACGACCAGAAGGAACCATGAACGCTCTGCCCTCAAGTACACACTATAAAACCACATTACGACAAGTGTCTGTAGAATTATAATTATTAGAATACAAAGGATTTTACATTAATGCAGACAGCTCACTGAAAGATTTTAAAGTATTCTGTCTTCATTAAAGGGCCCTAATCTGTCATCATTAAAGGGCCCTAATCTGTCATCATTAAAGGGCACTAATCTGTCATCATTAAAGAGCCCTAATCTGTCATCATTAAAGGGCCCTAATCTGTCATCATTAAAGGGCACTAATCTGTCATAATTAAAGGGCCCTAATCTGTCATCATTAAAGGGCCCTAATCTGTCATCACTAAAGGGCCCTAATCTGTCATCATTAAAGGGTCCTAATCTGTCATCATTAAAGGGCACTAATCTGTCATAATTAAAGGGCCCTTCTGTCATCATTAAAGAGCCCTAATCTGTCATCATTAAAGGGTCCTAATCTGTCATCATTAAAGGGCCCTAATCTGTCATCATTAAAGGGCCCTAATCTGTCATCATTAAAGGGCACTAATCTGTCATAATTAAAGGGCCCTAATCTGTCATCATTAAAGGGCCCTAATCTGTCATCACTAAAGGGCCCTAATCTGTCATCATTAAAGGGCACTAATCTGTCGTCATTAAAGGGCCCTAATCTGTCTTCATTAAAGGGCCCACAATCTGTCGTCATTAAAGGGCCCTAATCTGTCATCAATAAAGGGCCCCTTATCTGTCATCATTAAAGGGCCCTAATCTGTCATTATTAAAGGGCCCTAATCTGTCATCATTAAAGGGTCCTAATCTGTCATCATTAAAGGGCCCCAATCTGTCATCATTAAATCAGAAAGTCTGTGATCCGGGCGCCAGAACTCACCGTGTGGAGCTAATCTCACTGCTAAAGTACCATGTGGCGCAGAACTAAAAAAGGTCTCGTTATGATTCTCAAATCATTAACGACAAAACAAGGAATAAAACCAGGATTTCTATCTTTGTGAAAAAGGTGTTGGTTATAGATTTGTTGTTGACAAAACTCTTGTCTATTCAGCTGTTATGGTCCCAGCTGGATTCGTCTGCATATCTGGCAACCTGAGTCAGGGAGAGTGGGAGAGGCTGCAGTACCACTTTTGGCCACATGTTTACATACTGCTCCTTAAGACAGTGCATGCTGCTGTTGTGCTTTTTGGCATGAAAAACTCGTTCATTAGAAATCAGATATCGATTATTTGCCATTTGCAGTAAAACCCCATTGGAAACATTTGCAAAAAGTCCCCAGTGTGCACCAGACATTACAGAAATAAAAACAAGGCCAAAAGTACCGAACATATTAAAGTGCAGGAAACAATTGTCACTGTGAAATGAATCAACAAAAAATGATCAAAATTCTTAGTATAGAAGCAACACTTATGCAGGTCAGTTGTCGTAGGGATTATATATATTTAAATGGGGATAAAGACCTCCAAATAGTGCAGGAAATAAAATTAAAAACACAATTCAAGAAAGAATGCATTTTACTCATGAAACAAACCAACGTAAATGGAGTTAATTTATTTACATCAAGGAACAAAAACAGCCTTTTTCTACTTTAGTCTCACAAAAAAATCCATTTTCTTCAGTGTATTTTTACAAGTCTAACTGATAAGATCTATGCAACTTGAGCAGGGCAATTAAATATATAATCTCCTTTGGAAGTTGGACTGACAGAAAGGCAGAGAATGAGGGAGAGAGAGCGTGTGTGTGTGTGTGTGTGTGTGTGTGTGTGTGTGTGTGTGTGTGTGCATGCGCTTGTGTGTGTGTGTGTACGCGTGTGTGTGTGTGCATGCGTGCGTACGTGTGTGTGTGTGCATGTGTGCGTGTTTGTGCGTGCTTGTGTATGTGTGTGTCTGTGTGCGCTTGTGTGTCTATCTCTATGTGTGTGTGTGTGTGTGCGCGCACTTGTGTGTGTGTGTGTGTGTGTGTCTGTCTCTATGTGTGTGTGTGTGCGCGCACTTGTGTGTGTGTGTGTGTGCGTGTAGTTGGGAGGAGATAAAAGCCCATATTGGAAAAGGGTCTCTTTAGGAAATGTAGGGAGCTCAGTCAATTATGTCTTTGAGGTTTATGAAAGACAGCACAGAGAGAATAATGTACTTTCACAAATAACAGTTTTTTCTTTTGTCATTTTCCAAAGTGCAACAAAAATAACGTTTTGAGATTTCTATTTGTTCTAAGACCCTGCTCCAACATCTATCCTGGGATTCATTTCATCCTTAGGTCAATATCTCGTGGTCGCGATATCAAAATGCAGTCTAAGTATTTCAGGACGAGGCTTGTGGTTTTAGGGTTTTCCCGATCAATATGTGACATCACTTAGGCTGTGTTCTCGACCAATCGAAAAGCACTTTAGTGTGTTCTGATGGTGACAGTAAATCAATGAAAAATAAAGATGGGATTTTTTTTTTTTTTTTGACAAATTATTTTCCATTAGCCCTGTTCACAGAGACAAAACCGTGAACAAATTAAAATAAATGTTGCAGATGAGAATTATAACTGACACAAATGACCTATGCATTGAAATGGGATGAGAACCATTTGGATGCAACCGCCTGTGATTGGACCAATTGTTTCTCTGTCATTGGTCAACATAGAACTTACATATAGAAGTGATTTTGAACTGAGTATGAATAAGTTATGTAAACTAAACATAAGGTATTTTGTACAGTGGTGGTAAAACCTGGGACATAAAGACAAACCTTCCTTCACAGCCCGGGGGTCAAACTCATTTTGAAAACCCAATTTTTAAAAAACATAACGGCTGGTGAAAAGTTTAAAAGTGGTATTTTTGATTTATTCATATTTTTGTCTTTTGAAAAATATATTTGCTTGAATATTCTTTTCTATTATGTATGGATTCTGCCAGAACTGGACCAAATATCAAAACGAAGATGTATTGTAAGATTGATAGTTAATTATAAAAAATAATCATGAAGTAACTACAACTTATTCAATGATACGACTGAGCGCTTACACAACTTCAATGATATGGTTGTTTTCCTGAGATAATAGGCTTTAACATGAAGTATAACATGCAGTAGTATCCCATTACCATCACTGCTGCAAGTTACTGTGATAATGATAATAGAAAATCATTACAAGGGCCACTAAAAACGGTCTTGCGGGCCGGATTCGGCTCCTGGGCCTGAGCTTGACAGCCCTCCTTTAGAATGAGAAGAGAAAGAAGAGAATAGAAAAAGCAAGCAGCACTTGATTTCCTCATCTGAGTATAGACTATTATTAAAAATCCGTAAGATAATGGACAGTATTTTCCTTGTGAAGAATAATCTCTTGCCTCTCCTCTGCCGGCACCCCCGATACCCCCCTTCCCCCCCCCCCCCCCCCATCTCTCTCACCAGCCTGCTCACGTCGCGAATCTGTCTGATGAAAACAGATCTCAGAGCCGGCCCACAATAGAACGGCTGATGCAAGAAAGATGAACCCTAATGGATTTTTTTTTCTAACATTGAAGATTGAATATAAGGCCTGACCTCCAGATGTAGTGGATCCATTTCAGCAACACACATGTTTATATGCAAGACATGGCAACACGCACATCGCACACATGAAGAGGGGCGAACGAAGAGAAGCTGAAAAATGTAAAACGTATTCAAGAAAGTCAAGAATAACATTACGGAGAAAACGAGTATATAGCAATATGTCTCACCTCCAGATTTGATTGTATTGAAAGAGTGTGTTTGGAGAATTGGACTGAGCAGAAGGTCATAATAGTATTGCATTTAAAGGTCACCGTTTAAGCTTCAACGTCTTTCAGTTATTTGCGTCTGTATTAGTTTTTTAACGGGAAAAGCTCCACAAAGTTAGAGGTCACATTTCACCGGCAGCGTTTTAAATCAGAGAATCAGTGTAAATATCTTCATCTTGGGATAATGTAGAATGCAAGAGTTTGAAAGAATGTCAGGATTTGTCCGTTTTATTCCCTTTATTAGTCCATTTTGTGGTTGCGGAGGGAGAGGGGGATGACTTTTATTTGCAGGCCACGAAGTAACGACCGCGAAGTAACGACCACAAAGTAACGCCCACCAAGTAACGCCCACCAAGTAACGCCCACCAAGTAACGCCCACCAAGTAACGCCCACCAAGTAACCGCCACCAAGTAACCGCCACCAAGTAACCGCCACGAAGTAACCGCCACGAAGTAACCGCCACGAAAGAACGCCCACGAAGGAACGCCCACGAAGGAACGCCCACGAAGGAACGCCCACGAAGGAACGCCCACGAAGGAACGCCCACGAAGGAACGCCCACGAAGGAACGCCCACGAAGGAACGCCCACGAAGGAACGCCCACGAAGGAACGCCCACGAAGGAACGCCCACGAAGGAACGCCCACGAAGGAACGCCCACGAAGAAACGACCACAAAGTAACCCCCACAAAGTAACCCCCACAAAGTAACGCCCAAGAAGCAACCACCACAACCTTCTCCGTCAACAAAGTCAGGGCCTTGGTCTTTCAGCGGGGGCTTCAGGCAAAGTGGGGCGAAGTGACATGAGTCGAGGGGGGATGGAACCAGTCCATCCCCAATAGGTTCAAAGACCAATGTTTTACCAACTGAGCCACTGCATTGGGGCATTACGCAGTTCTAAACTATAAGAATGGTTTGTAAAGCGTGGACCAAGAGATAATCGCAATCATTTGGGTATAAACGATAGAGCAAAACACAAAATATGTTTGGATTGATTTGAAATTATGGTAAAACTTCTGAACACTTTTAAATGTTGTCGCTCGCTCAATGTTGTCAACCAAACAAGTTGCATGATGCACTTTCTGAGTGGAATTTGCATGTTCTCCCTGTCTCTGCGTAGGTTTCTTCCGGGTGCTCCGGTTTCCCCTACTACTAAAAACAGTCTGTGCCCCGCTCCCATCTCTGTGTGGAGTCAGAGAAAAATGCCCACAATTGTAAACCGCCGTGACTCTGCTCTGTGAAAGGCGCTCTATAACTTACTTACTTTACAATACTAGGATTCCAGTCGCCCGGACCCTTTCCCAGCAGGCAGTACCAGCACTGTACCGCTCACTCCTTTCTACTGTAGCATCTTACAGTGGCTTTCCTTCTGCGAGGACGAAGCCAAACAGCGCCGTTGTAAGTCGTGCTAAAATTAGACCTTGTTACTTATCTATCCATGTCAAGTGAGCTATTCATAATGATAGCATCGGTGTTTGAACTGTGGAGTTTGCTTAATTACTATGCTCAACAGACTGTGTCAAGGTGAGCCCGGCGTTAATAGACACTCCATTCCCATCACAAATGAAGCTCTCGCCACGCTTTGCTAGCTCCGACTGGCAGCCTATTTGATTTAGCAATTTCTCCCTTTGCTTTATATGTATGCGGTTTTTCGCTGAAAAGTTGGAGTGGTGTTCTGAATGAGATCTGTGGTATGCTTTGAAAAGACACTTACAGGTACCAGCGGCATATTTCTCAACCAAGCCCAATTTGCTTTTACTTTTATCTAGAGGAATAGGTTGCTTTGGTGAAAATGCATAACTTTAAAGTCTAATGTTTTTTTTTAGAATCCTGTCATCATTACAGTATGAAAACATTATGCAAATACCACTTCTCCTGATAACAAATTATAGCTGTGACATTTTATACTAATACACCTACTGCTGCTGCTGTTACTACTTCAATTATTATCAATACATCAAATACCCATTAGCTTACGCTTACAACAATCTATTATGTCACTGTTCTATAAAGTGTTCTGTCTGTAACTTAACAAGAGGTGGAGCAGTAAGTAAATAACACTGACCCTAGGTTAAACCATTCTACAGAATATTCTCCGGATGAAAGATGATATAATTGCTTTAGGCCAAACTGGAGTATTTCCTTGAATATTAAAATGTTAAAAATTATTTGTTCCATTGTGGGGGAATTTCAGTGTTGTATTACTAGTTACAGAACAGTAGGAATGAGGAGCACACAGCACACAAAAAATAAGCAATAACTCTATACTAGGTCAAATAAAGTAAATATCTCTAACTCTAGCATGAAGATGGCCTGGTCTTAGCCGTATGTAAACTCTGGTCCATGATTATTTCCTACAAGTACGTCTGGTATTACCATGTGTAAACTCTGGTCCATGATCATTTCCTACATGTACGTCTGGGTCTTACCATGTGTAAACTCTGGTCCATGATCATTTCCTACATGTACGTCTGGTCTTACCATGTGTAAACTCTGGTCCATGATCATTTCCTACATGTACGTCTGGTCTTACCATGTGTAAACTCTGGTCCATGATCATCTCCTACATGTACGTCTGGTCTTACCATGTGTAAACTCTGGTCCATGATCATTTCCTACATGTACGTCTGGTCTTACCATGTGTAAACTCTGGTCCATGATCATTTCATACATGTACGTCTGGTCTTACCATGTGTAAACTCTGGTCCATGATCATTTCCTACATGTACGTCTGGTCTTACCATGTGTAAACTCTGGTCCATGATCATTTCCTACATGTACGTCTGGGTCTGATCCTATTGGCTGCAGTTTCTTCGGTTGAATCCCCTCCGACCAATCAGAGAGCGGGGGAGGCGGGTGTTGTTGGTCGGTGTCGGTGACGTTAAGAGTTTGTGCTGAATTTGCTGGTTGTAGTTTGTCTGAGAATGTGATAGTGAAATAATCTGTTCTGGTTCAATCCAAATATCAAGAAACTGAAGCCGGAGCAAGAGGAATGTTTAATAAATGTTATTGAAGCAAATATGTTGTGGCTCTACTCCCCACGGGCTCCGTTAGCGGCAAAGGAGATGGCTAAAGCTAGGCTAAATGCCCCCACACCATTACGTAAACTAGTCAATGGAGCAAATCCAAACCTTAGTATGAAATGTAATGATGGTAAGTAAGTAATCTTTATTTATGTACCGCCTTTCACAGACCAGAGTCACAACACGGTTTACAATTGTTATTTTTTAATGGTAGGGAGAGACCAGGCTAGCATGAAGAACAAACAACTATAAAATCTCATAATAACAAGCAAGTACTGTGTATTTTAGTGCAATAAATACAAAAACAATAAAAAAAAGTCTACCAAACTAAACCAGAAATATAATTACATCCACTGGCTTTCGTTCTCCACATAGTCCATGTTTATTCTAATGCTACATACAACACATGCGGCTCACTACAGCAGGAACAAGAACGTCCTTCACAAAGTCACGGAGCGTCCAATCAGAATACGTCTCCACAGTAAAAGGTCATGACCAAAATATGAAATGTATATGAAGACAAATGATGCAGCAGTGCAATCTCTCAGCCCACAGTCCCATATTCTACATTATATACGGCCTCTTTATGTTTCCGATCTTTATCAAACTTGATTTTCCCTGGCAGTTTATCTTGTGTTTATGACCTGAAGGACAATACATACTGCTTGACCTTGATGCCTCTGTGTGGATTCAAATAACGTTTTTTTCTGTGTAATTTGTACAAAAAGAGCTTCTGGTATGTCTGCGCTGATGCAGGGATATGAGCTCTAATGTCAATATTATGAAAGTGGAAGATTTGTCGACGAATTCAGATTTCAAAGTTGTGGTAAACTAAATCTAATGGCACACAGTTTTCATGCATCAGAATCAATTTCAGATTTATGTTTTGTTGCTGATGTGTTAAACAAGAAGCCACAAACGATCGGGGAGATGCCTTGTACGGTGCAGATAAGAAATAAATGTAATAAAATAGGTATACAGAAGAGAAACGATTCTTATGTATAAACCAGTGGGTCTCGGCTCCAAACGGTCCATGAGCACGTTTGTGACATCACAGACTGTAAATATTAACGGACGTAGTGACGCCTACCTCTGCCGTTTAAACTAATGTGCCACCACTTTTGCCTTCTGTGGGCTTTTTCAAAATGGCATTTGCGCATGCGTTCATTCATTCGATGAGTGCATTCAAAAGTCCACAGCGGCTAAACTAGACTGGTCCAAATAAAAAGTACGCCCTCAACATTGACACACATTTGTAACGTTGCGTTGGACCAAGAGCAACTTTTGGACCATCCTGTGAAGACGTTTTCGTGAGGAAAGAAGACGCCATTCAAAAGCGTTGGATAATTCTCTTTCCGGGTACACCCCCCCCACCCCAGATTGCGGCATAACCCCCCAATGCCTGACATGCAGCAATCTCAGTCCTTGAGATTGCAGCATGTCAGGCACACATGCGAGAGCCAGTTGGGGTCTGGCTTTCGCATTTTTCTTCTGTTTTTGTGACTTGAAAATTAGGTACCCCAGCTTTAAGTCAGATTTGTGGAGAATGATTTGACTAGACTAAATACAGCTAATATTTATCCATAAAGGGCTGACGGGTTTACAGTATATGTATGTGCAATGGATTGGATTATACAGTACTTTGAACTTGTAAAGGAGCTTACTATAATCTGTTTTACTAGTCTGTAGCTAATTTAAGTTTACAGCAAAAAAAAAAATATAAAATAAACCTTTGCCACGTACACATTGCCCTCTTCTCGGTGTCGTAACAGAAACTCGCACACAAAAAAAAGCTCCTCTATGAATACAATTATGGAAATACTAATTCAAAAAGGAGCCATATATGTGCAGTGCTGAGGGAGTAATCAGGCAGTATTCATGTCTGAAGTCTGACAGCTTGACCGATGCATGCTGTCGAGGCTGATGTGAGGCTGATGGATTTACCCACAATCCTGTTCTTTATGCATCAGAGCTGACATGGCAACCGCAGAACAATCGCTCAGTGCAATTATTATCTCCGTGCGATTTGAGCCCACGGACACATTTTTGCGTTTTCCACCAATAGATACTTTGCGAACACAAAATCAGACAGATTCAGACTCGCTTCCTCTGATGAGAAAACGTCCAACTTGTAAAGAAGAGCCATGTGAGTGATCTTTCCCATATTTCTGGAATGATGAAAGAATGATGGACTGTTGCAATAGTGCTTTACAATTCCTTACAAAATGCCTTTAAATGGAACAAGGGTCCTCATTAAAATGTTGCATGAAAGAGGACGCTGAAACCCGTGGTAATTGAAAGACAGTTGGCGAGATACTGTAAACACCTACTTTATTCTTTCACTTTAATGTTCCGTGGCCCCTAGGTACCCTGATGTTGTTTTCTTATCGCTGCCTTTGAGATGAATGTGACACCTTCTTCATGATCAAGGTTGAGAGCTATAATGTTGCTCGTATCCTAATATAGTAAACATGTTTGCAAGTAAGAAGGTGCGCAGCTATCTTTTTATGCTAGGATAACATAAAAACGGTTACATGCAAAAGACTAAAATTGGATTAGAATAGAATAGATCAACAAGCACTTGCTGCTAATTTCCACAGGAGGCGTTACAGAACGTATGCGTTGTACGCGCAGCAGACGCGTGTAACAGATTTACATGTTAACCAACGGGGATATTTACACTACTAATGTTATACGTGCGTATGACGGACGTATGAAGCGAGGCAGCGCCTAATTTGGGATGGATTTCTAATTGTGTGCGCGCAGCAACAGGTCTCCATTGAAAACACATGTGAAACATGATTTTTCTAGCGGCCCTTGGCTTTAGATTGCACCTACACACACACAGCTCTTTTATCTTAACATCAGCAGGAGGATTGGCAGGTTTTACAGTGATTCTGGACATCGGTTTTTTGTTCATAAAGTCTGGCCAAACCAGCGCACAGAGACCATGAAGACAAACACATGCATGTGTCCTCTGTACTGTCCTCTACGCTGCTCCATAGACTACACTGCTCCATAGACTACACTGCTCCATAGACTACACAGGGACAGCATCAGAAGCCTCAGACCTGCGCACGACCAGTGTAGATACACCCAAATAATGTTACACGCACATACGCACTGTTAACACCTACTGTGGAAATTCCCTGTCATGAATTTTCAAAGTGCACTTGGAACAATTTAATTGAGGGAAAGCTTTTGAAGTTGCATTATTTGTTATGATGATATTTTCAGTTTAAAAATCAATTACAAGCAATTCTTGTGCTCACAAGTTCGACATGACTGGACTTTTTCCTCCAGAGAAATATTCAGGTGACAAAGTGGTTCTTAACCTCAACCTTAATACTATTGTTTGCCTAATTTTGACATTTGCACTGATCTTTGCATTTCTAAACCTGTATTGAGCTCTAAACATAAGAATTGCCAATATGAAACACAAAATGTAGCCTGTAATTGTAAGGAAATGTAATCCAAATTATTCCAGTCTTTGTGATTTGCTAAATGCGATTAGTTTTGCAGCCCTAGTTTAAATCACACCAAATCAAAGCAAAAACGTGAATTGCGGAAAATAACAAGTGACATCACACGTGGCGCCCCCGTACCTCCACCCCCCTTTCTGTCCCGGGAACTCACCGAGTGCATCTGGCTGGAGACGAGGTGTCCGTCCTGGGCCAGCATGTTGGACATCATGAGGGTGGGCAGCTCGGGATAGGAGTAGGGGTTGATCAGGCCGTTGTGGGGGTGGCACAGGTATCCCGCAGAGTCGTGCTCCATCAGGTGCAGCAGGTGGGGCTCTGGGTGGTTGGGGGGAGTGATGGGCGGGATCTCGTAGTCCTCGTCACCGTTACCTCCGCCGTTAGACCCGCCCCCTCTGCCTCCGGTCTGGCCTGTGTAGTTCTGTGCAGGACGAGAGGTCAGGGGAAATATATTAGCTGGATTTTAGCTTCAAAGAGTATAGTGCATAGGAGGCTACAGTTGGATCGTTAGCTAAATACGTAATCAAATACAGACATCTACTGAAAGAGATGAGTTAAAGCAAGCCCCGGCGATCCAATATGGCCCCGTATTCAAATGAATGGTTTGTGCTCAATGGCGCATGTGCCGTTATGGGCGCCGAGAGATTAGCGGAACTCGCCATATTTGGGCATCGTCTGGTCCTCCCGGTTCTGTGCAGTGGACGAACTACCATAATGCATAATGGCTCCCACGCACGTGCACAGAGGGGCCAATCAGAGCAGTTCATCAGAGCGGGAGTTAGAGCGAGAGCCGAACGAGCAGAGTTTGTGGCAGTAAATTGTGGATTTAAAGAAAACCGAAAGATTTAAGAGGAAAAAAAGTTCAGGATGACAAGGGACACTAAAATCCACACAAAATCCGAGCTTTATGAAAGCTGTAGGTTCTCTGTCAGGTGAGTTTGCTGTGTTTTAGTTTACATTGAGTTCTATGGGGAAAATGTCTGGGTAGCCCACGTGAATTTAGTCTTTTCAGTCTGCAGTACCGCGAGAATCCCCCGAACACATGAGTCCTTCAGCTACAAGCACCCTATCCAGTTATTATAATAGATCCATGTGTTAAAGGAATAAAAGAGGATTTTCTACTTCCGGGTGGATCATCAAGACTATTGGTCCTCCCAACTGTCAATCATTCTGGTGATACGTGCTCGTCAAATAGAGAGAGAGCGCTTATTTCTTAAAATTTTGGAAAATCCTTATTTTTACTTTTAAATTAACAGCATATCTTATATCAGTATTTAGACGTCAGTACCCTTTAATATGAGAGTCCAAATAGAAAAAAAAGTGAGAGCCATACAATATTTATTTTGCTCTGAATACAATATGAATGTTTGAAGATATCTCTGAATGAATGACTTTGAAGAGAGTGAAGTGAGGCACAGACGATGTGTTTGTCTTCAGTGCCTCTGTTTTGATATTGATTGGTGATTGAGAGTGATTGGTCAATACTGCGGTTCATACCAAAACATCATAGACCCAGGGATTCAGACGTTCAAGATATGAATGGTAATAATAATAATAACACATTGAATTTGTATAGTGTTTTTTTGGGACACTCAAAGACACTTCACACGAGAAAAAAGAAAAAGAAAGAGTTTGAACAGATTCAGAGTCCGGTAAACTCCATTGGGATCATTTGTCTCTGCTCAAAACAGATGATTATTATTCTCTAAACCAGATAAACTGTTACAAGACTGTGTAGTTTGCATGTTCTCCCCGTGTCTCCCCTACCTCTAAAAACATGTACAATAGGTCTGGTATGTGCCTCCTGTACCGACCCCCCTCCCATCTCTGTGTGGAGAGAGACAAATGGCCACAATTGTAAAGCGCTTTGTGACTCTGTTCTGTGAAAGGCGCTTCATAAATAAATATCACTTACTTATTATTTACAGTCATTAGTATGCATCAACGTAACCGCAGCGCAAACCAGTTCTAAATGCATCAAAGACATTCCAACTCCCGTCCCCTGGGACTTACTTTTACAAATATAGACCGGATAAAAATGACATTAACATCTTGTCGCAGATACAGCCCAGTTTCTTCCGACGCCGGATAAACTGCGTGTGATTTGTCATTTTGTCAGGATAGGTGTAATTTTGTTTCAGATTGGGAACATCTCCTTTTCTACACAAAAGCTTCAGCGGTGGGTAATAAAGAAGACCAACATTGTGTGTAGCGGTGCGCTGTCAGGCTACTGTAACTCCAATCCGATCAGTGCGAGGAGACAAGACAAAAACGGCAGACAAATCCAACCAGGGAATGAAAAGCAATTTTGCGAGCGCCGATCCAACTTGACTCCCATTGTAATGACAGAGCCAAATTAATCATCACAAATAATATTCTGGTGTCAGCTATTCAAGGGTTTTTAATAGAATGCGATGTGATTCATGACTGGCAGTATACATCAAACAGTCGGTTCTGCAACATTTCTGAAATCCACTCAGTATCGTCTTTGTGTAGGCTGTCATCAACGCCAGCGCACCGGCCATTTATCTCCCGAACGATACTTGTAGAAAGTAAAGGCCATGGGTTTGGTGGAGGAGCGGGAGAAGGGCTAGCATTTTTCAAGAGTTATGCCTTTTCACTTTAGTACTATACAAGGTCCAAGAGGTTTATTTATAGACAGTTTGATTTGGATGGTTGATCGGAAATGCTGGCATATTTTTAACCTTAAAAACACAAAATCCTATGTAATTAAATCTATCTAGCTAGTTCCTGCCACGTGTAGCATTCTTTGTCTGAAAATGATATGACCAAAGCCAAATAAATACAATCATTTCCGCACGCAATTGGACATATAAATGAGCCACAGATTTACCTGAAATTACAACAATTTAGATTAGATTAATTTACTTTTTTGTTGGGTTGAATACGGTTGCACACTGGGGTGGTCTTGCACAGTTTTTCCAATGTGGTTTTACTGCAAAGGGCAACAAAATTCTTGTTGTATCTTGTAATACGGCCAACAAATAGTTACCTACAAACCACAAAGTAAAAGGGTCAAACTCGTCAAGGCTCAATGTTTAAATGGTGATTACTGTAATAATCTTTTAAAAATCTATTGTTACCGGTTCAGGAGCAATAGGAGTCAAACCAATAATTGAGCTTTATGGTGCAAAATAATATTAATAATTATAATAATGCGCAATTAATGCTGCCGTATCTTTAACCTTCATGTAATTAAATCCATCTAGCTAGTTCCTGTCATGTGTAACCATTTGATTATATCACCTGCATTTTTGATTGCTATTATTCTGTCATTTTCAGACAAAAACAATTATTCCCGCACACAATTGGACATTTAAGGCAAAGTTTTGGGCTCAAAGCTGAAACGTTGCATAACTTTGTTACAACACGTGACAAGTAGGAGTACGGTAATTCTTTTTTAAATTTATCTGTAGGCGGTACCAGCCTCTCCTCCAAGTACACCTAATCTGATTCATTCAGTTTCTTTTTATTGCCATTTGCAGTAAAACCACATTGGAATACATTTTAATAATTCCCCAGTGTAATGTGACTGGTCATGTGACTGGTCATGTAGCTGGTCATGTAGCTGGTCATGTGACTGGTCATGTGACTGGTCATGTGGCTGGTCATGTGACTGGTCATGTAGTTGGTCATGTGGCTGGTCATGTAGTTGGTCATGTAGCTGGTCATGTGACTGGTCATGTGGCTGGTCATGTGACTGGTCATGTGACTGGTCATGTAGCTGGTCATGTGACTGGTCATGTAGCTGGTCATGTGACTGGGGTCAGCACTAACGCATATACGGAATCGGGACGGAAGCGGAAGTAAATATTACAAATTACCTATTAATGCCTAAATTTAACCAGCTATTCCCATAAAATAACCCCAACCCAGCCTTAACCCTAACCTTAACCATCTTACTCAGACGCCTAAAACTTAACCAGTCACCACTTAAGGACTTATTAGTCTAAAACTAATTCGAAAGTACGAGTGTTACTTCCGGTTTCGTCCCGATTCCGTTTATGATCTAGTGGCGACCATGTGACTGGTCATGTAGCTGGTCATGTGACTGGTCATGTGACTGGTCATGTGACTGGTCATGTAGCTGGTCATGTGACTGGTCATGTGACTGGTCATGTGACTGGTCATGTAGCTGGTCATGTGACTGGTCATGTGACTGGTCATGTAGCTGGTCATGTGACTGGTCATGTGACTGGTCATGTGACTGGTCATGTGACTGGTCATGTAGCTGGTCATGTGACTGGTCATGTGACTGGTCATGTGACTGGTCATGTGGGGAGAAAATGTCTGAAAAGGTGAGTTTTGGGTCTGGATTTAAACAGGGAAAGAGAGTCAGTGTTGCAGGGGTCAGGAGGGAGTGAGTTCCAGAGCTGGGGACCGGTGTGGAGCAGGATATGGAGAGCTTTGAATTGAGCGTTAAATTTAAGAACACAGGCACATATTTCAATACCCGAACATTTAATTAGAAAAAATAAAAGGCCATAAGTCGCTGTCCCCTTCGGCCCCATGCAGTCAAACCCATACTAAAGATAAAGTCAAATTAGGCCCTGAGTGACTGTCCCGGCGTGTTTGTCTCTGTTCCCAACCAGCCTGTGAACCTGCTAATATTCCCGTGGCCTTTGAAGACAGATGCGTTTGAAAACCTTTGGGGAAAGCGTCGTTGTTTGGTCCGATGGAGAAGAAAACCAATGTGTGTCAAAATCCAATTGCCCTCATAATTGTTGGAAGGAAAGCGGGTGTCCTTCTGTAAACACGGAGCCGTCGCGTGGATCGAGAGGCAGCGCTCGGAGCGAGAGTTAACAGTTCAATTATCACCACTCATGAGCTTTCTCCACGGATTTACCTGAAATTACAACAACTTGGGACAGATTTTTTAAGACGACATCTCCTGAGCTGGATTCTAGTTGCAGCAGACAACTTCGAACATTTGCTAATGCTTATTAATTTACTTTATAGTTGGGTTGAATACGGTTGCACACTGGGGTAGTCTTGCACAGCTTTTCCGATGTGGTTTTACTGCAAATTGCAAATCAATTCTTGTTGTATCTTGTAATACAGCCAACAAATAGTTACCTAAAAACTACAAAGTAAAAGGGTCAAACTCGTCAATGAGATAAGATAAGGCACAGATAGAATCACTCAGATGCAAAAGACAGAAGTGTGCAACATGTTAAAACAAATATAGTCTGTGCAGGATATAATTATGTACAATCAAAAAAATGTGGCAGTAAAAGAGAAAGTGGCAAAAGCAGTGCAGGGTTTATTCAGTTTCAGTGCATTAGTGACTTAATGTGACGCACAGTTAGCTATTATGCTGCATTTAAGCTGTAACAACCACCACATTTAAATTAAGTTTCTATCCATCTATCTATCGTTCTATCTATCTATCTATCATCTATCTATCATCTATCTATCTATCTATCTATCTATCTATCTATCTATCTATCTATCTATCTATCTATCTATCTATCTATCATCTATCTATCTATCTATCTATCTATCTATCTATCTATCTATCTATCTATCTATCTATCTATCTATCTATCTATCTATCTATCTATCTATCTATCTATCTATCATCTATCTATCTATCTATCTATCTATCTATCTATCTATCCATCTTTAAGTGTTGTGACCTGACCTTCACCATCGACTCCCACTGTCTGCTGTCGTTGTGTCCTTGGGCAAGACACTTAACCTCTGAGAACACCAGGTGCCACAGTGGGACGGCTGTAAAGTGCCAAACTGCCGTTGTGTCCTTAGGCAAGACACTTCACCCCAATTGCCTAGAATGAGTCTGGTGTGTGTGTGTGAATGGTTGGTGGTGATGGGAGGGGCCGATGGCACAGACTGGTTGCCTCGCTTCTGTCAGTGTGCCCCAGGGCAGCTGTGGCTACAGTAGTAGTTTATCACTTCTGTGTTTGGAGAGAAAGAATAATCACATGTGAAGAGTCTTTGAGTGTCCAGAAAAGCGATGTATAAAACCGATGGATTATTATTATTAACCTGAGACAACAGGTAGAATTGGAGAGGACTATTGTTATTTGCTGGTTTCAAATTATTTTTTCCGCCGAAAGGATTTGATTTCTGACCCAGTGGGTAATGAGTGAATGAATATTGACATGTGAAATATCTTTGAGTCTCCAGAAAAGTGTTATTAAAAAAACCCCAATGCATAATTATTTGTATTGTTATAGAAGTGATTTTTCTGTTCTTCAGCTTTTACTTCCTGTTTACATTTTTCTGATTGATGCAAATCTATGAGACAAATTCCCCACAGGTTCTTTTCCACCGGACAAAGTTATAACTGTGGGAAAGGAGAAGCCTGTCAAATCCACTTTAAAATGATCGAGCCTTTGTTTTGCCTCTTTGTGTATAAAAAGTGTCGTGTACAGAGTCCGTGAAGGATGGAGACTGAGAAGATGTCGTGTGTTGGACGGTATTAAAGGCCCATCCGGCGCCCTTGATGATAAAATGTAAATACCAAGGACGCTCCCAGCCGAATTGTGGCAAGATAAATTATTCATGGTGCTCTATTCAGAATGAGATTGCACGCTCCGAAGCACATGTACACACAGGGTAATGTACACAGGCTCTTTTAAAAGTAAAATACAAACAATAGCCATGTGTATTTTGAGGGACACGGTGCGGAATCTTTAAGAAATGAACCTTATTTTTGTTCCAATGTGGTTTGTGATTGTACTGTTTGAATGCAAAGGATGTATTTAGTATGTATATGTGAGAGGACATATGTATTTTATCTGAATATAGAAGAGGACATATGTATTTAATATGTATAAATGAGAGAACATATGTTTTTGTGTAATCATTTTATTTGTTGAAGTGAACAAGTTTTTTACGACCTGCTCCGTTGATCACTATTTTAAAACCCCTGACAACAAAAGCTGAAGAAATGAGGTATGTTTTGGGATTCGACCTGATATTTCCCATGTACTGCCTTGTTCTTTGCTGTAGTTATGTTAAAAAGACAGAATTTTATCGGAGATCGCTTCAAGAAATTTTACTTTCATTAAAACATGGCATCATTTTTGAAACACTAATACAAAAGCAGAGTAAGACAAGTGCATATAAACACACTCCAAACACTCGACCACGGATCAGAAGGTTCTAAATGTCATACATGGAAAGTGTATTTTTGTCTCCCGCTCGGAAATTATACTTAATAACATCAATGATAACAATAATAATAATAATGCATTGGTTTTGTACAGTGCTTTTCTGGACACTCAAAGACACATGTTGTTATTATTTCACTCCAGACACATGCAAAAGCCAGATCCTGTCAGACCTATGAAGCTGTGCAGGGAAGGGCCTGGTTAGTAGGGGTGGGAACCTAAGGGTACCTCACGATACGATACATGATACAAAACTCACGATAACGATATTATCACGATAACGATATTATCACAATAACAATATCACGATAACGATTTTAACACAATATGACGACTATCGATATATTGGTCAGAAGTATACAATATACCAATTTATGGCATATATAAAAGAAAAAATACACTTTATTTCATGATAAATGGAATGGAGATGCGTAATGTAGCCATATATTAAGTATTGATACCCATTCAAAAAAAAACATTGTAAAAAAAAAAAAAAAAAAAAAAAACATGTTTTTTTTTTTTTTTTCGATATCGATACTTGGCAAATGCATATTGATAATCGAACCGGGGGAGAAAGTATACCCCTACTGGTTAGTACTGCGATGGGAGACCTCTGGGAACAGCAGGTGCCGCAGTGGGGCGGCTGCGGCTGTAAAGTGCCAAACTGTGGTTCTGTCCTTAGGCAAGACACTTCACTAACATTAGAGTGAGTCTGGTGTGCGCGTGAATGGTTGGTGGTGGTGGGAGGGGCTGATGGCAAATACAGGATGCCTCGCCCCAGGGCAGCTGTGGCTAAAGTAGTCAACACCATGTTTGGAGTGAATGAATAATAACATGTAAAAGCGTCTGAGTGTCCAGAAAAGTGCTGTATATAATCAAAGCATTATTATTATTATTCTATTCATACATGTTGTGATTCCCATATGGCACAGGTATCTCCGTCATTTTTTCACAGAGGATTACAGACACCCCACATTCTTTCCTTATTTTGTGTCCGCCGCTGATCAAACAGCCCACAGAGAATGATTTCTAGCTCGCAGTATGTCTGGTGAGCTCCACAATCTGCGAGGTTTTAATTACGAGGCCTCTCCGTCTTCTGTAACTGTTGCATACCAGTACACCTTTCATTTGAGCGAAACAGACGAACAGACAGTTGGCGTGGGACTCTGGGAGAAAATAACATTGATTGGGGAGCTTTCCAGTGCGTCTTTGACTTGGCACAGAGCGGTATACTTCGCGCTGAGTGTTCAAGGCTTTCTGGAGAGGATATTGACTGTGGCTAATGGCTCATTATCTGTTTGCGTTCTTCCTTTTAGGAGATTATTGTGGCGATGCGTACATGTCGGAATTTAGGACGAAACCTGATTACAAATTTTCATTGGTGATGCTTAAAGGAGCAGTATGTAAACATGTGGCCAAAAGTGGTACTGCAGCCTCTCCCACTCTCCCTGACTCAGGTTGCCAGATATGCAGACGAATCCAGCTGGGACCATAACAGCTGAATAGACAAGAGTTTTGTCAACAACAAATCTATAACCAACACCTTTTTCACAAAGATAGAAATCCTGGTTTTATTCCGTGTTTTGACGTTAATGATTTGAGATAGATATATAGATTTTTAAATATACAGACATAGAAAGGCACTTGTAAAGCACAGGCCTCCACTAAGAGCTGCAGATCCATTCCTTAAAGGAATAGTTCACCGTTTTTACATACTGACATATGTTCTTACCTTACCTTAGACTAGTTAATACGTACCTGTCTGGTCTTAGTCCGTGCGCTCTGTCATGCAAACGGAGCAAAAACGGGAGCACAACTCCGGAAAGAAGTTAGTGCGCAGAGAAGTTAGGAGCGCTACGTCCGCGCACTAACTTCTCTCCGGAGACTTCTCTCTCGCTGCTACTGTGTGTATTACAAGTCACGCTGCTTCTATTGACGGAAGTGAGCGAGAGAGAAGTCTCCGGAGAGAAGTTAGTGCGCGGACGTAGCGCTCCTCAGATTACTACGCCTCACAATATAGTACCCGTTTTATCCGCTGAGAAAATCGACTGTTACATTTCTGTGTTACTATACTTTGCAGTGTAACACGTCACGTAACTA